GATAGCGAGTCGAGCGCCCTAACCACCTGACCTGGTGAAAAGGAAATCGTATAGACTTCCGAGAACTAAATTTGATCGAAATTTCGAGTAATAATAATGTTATACCCATTGTTCTTGGTAATACTCTTTCAGTGTGGTTAATTCAACATTTAATTTATTCGTTAAATATTCCATTAAGAGACCGAGTATTTAGTTTTAATTGAAAATAATAAATGGCTTTGAAAGTAATAGGTATGTATATAATATATCGTTTGGAATAAATATACCGTCAATATTTACACTTCTATATATGAAAGTTTTTCTTGTGTAACTTAAGCAAGAGGAGATGCTTTATATTATAGTTTGATTAACATCTTTAACGGAGATAAGCCATTTATGAAACTGAAATGAAAAATTAATGGTGTAGAAATATATATATATAAATGAAGTAACGATTATCTAACTTACAGATATTTTTTTAGCAAATCAGTTGGAAGTTCAACTCTAGGTTGTAATACCAATAAAAATTAAGTTAGATAAGTTTTATTTGTTTCTAATTTTTCGCGCAGAGTTATACAAAGGGATATCTTCCCACAACCATTCCTAATTTTGAACTGATAGAGGCCCTCCCAGTGTCTCAGCGATACGTCTAAGGGCTTATGACGCTAGATATTTGGTTTCGATACCCGCACTGGGCATTGCACAGATATATATTACGTAGCTTTGTGCTTAACAATAAACAAACAAGAAGGGATAGAGGGAAGGCAAGTAATCAACGGAACCCGCCACCAACTATTGTACTACTACTCTTGTCTGATAAAATAGTGGAATTTAATCGTCGTCATAATATTGTAGAATGGAATGAACACTTTGAAGACAAGAAGCCGCGAACCATGAGCCCTCAGGTTCACAGTCACAACACACTGACAACGAGACCATGTTAGATCCTCTCTAATTAGAAAAAAAAACACATTTAAAATTCATTTTGATTACATCCAAGCAGCAAAAATAGAAAGAAAATTGTAAATAAGGTATATCATTACCATACATTAAAAAAAGTGTCATGAATTTTGAATGGTTTTTAAACTTCAGTTAAAGTAACTTTGGTCGTAAAATCCTAATAAAAGTTCTTTCAAACTGATCGGTTTTTACCAATGTCTATTTTTTTAAATGTATTTAATGCATGTCAAAACCATTTCAAATTTTCATAAATGTTTTTATTAGTTATTTTGACAGCACGCTACTGTAAGAAAATATTCACATTAACTATGTTTATTAATTTTGTCTCAAAAACGTGCTCCGCAATTTGGAGTCGTGGGTGCGTTATAAAAGTGATGATAAAATCCTAGTACTCGATCAGACAAGAATAACTTAAAAGTTAGCAGTGAGTACTGTTGACCAACTAATATATCAGTTCAAAATTAAAGACGGCTAGCGCAAATACTTCTTGTGTAAGTTTGCATAATTTATTGAAACAAACCTAATCAAAATGCAGTTGTTTGTGGTTACTTTGAAAAAGAAAATATGTGCATGTTTCTAACAGGTTCAGAGATTAGTTGAATGTCAAAATTTCACGATGTGCAAAATATTAATAAATCACGAGATATATGTTGAAAATAAATTTCAAGAACCTTCTTCTTATGAAGATAACAAACAGGCGAATGTATCCAACATGATTTATATAAACCTCTTTCTTTTCTTTTTTTCAGTCATACATCTTTGATGTGTGGAAACAGCAACCAAATGATGGTTAATATTTGATTAATCAATAATCAATTAATAATGTACGGAACCAAAATGTACTCATGTTAATAAAAAGTTTTGACTAAAGGACAAAATTGTTGTTATTTAATTATCCATGTTGGCAGTCAAAAGGTTAATATCTTTTTTTTCACACGCAATGGGCCCGGCATGGCCAGGTGGTTAGGGTGCTCGACTCGCAATCTGAGGGTCGCGGGATCGAATCCCCATCCAACCAAACATGATCGCTCTTCAGCCGTGGGGGCATTATAATGTAACGGTCAATCCGACTATTCGTTGGTAAAAGAGTACCCCAAGAGTTGGCGGTGGGTGGTGATGACTAGCTGCCTTCGTATTACATTGCTAAATTAGGTACGGCTAGCGCAGATAGCCCTCGTGTAGCTTCGCGCGAAACTAAAAAACAAACACACTCAATGAAATAAAAATACTATTTCCAGGTACATAATTATATTGTTAGTCTTAACTATTATTATTATCACCATTATTGAGAAAATCAAAGTAATAACCAATAAAAATTAGAACATAATTCTCACATCAAAAATTTACATTTCTGGAGCTCATATTTTCCATGGATTATAAACAAAGCAAACTTTCTAATCCTTGGGAGGAAATTTATAAGCATCCATTGACAACAAACCTAAAGTTACTTATTTCTAGGTACATATTGTTGTAAGATTTATTTTCAATGTTTTAATTTAGATGTTTATGATGTAAAAAATTAGTTTAGTGAGTAGAAGGCAAGTGCAGTATAAATACAAATAAAGTGAAGCACTGAATCAGTGGGTGATGAATGAACAGTTAATGAGTAATTAATTATTGAGTATTCCATGAGTAATCAGTGAGTAATTCAGTTCATTGTTAGTAGTTAGAATTATCGTATCTGTCCTGTTACTCGATCGATTATCAAAAAAATTCTATAAGTAAGTTTATAAGTACGTTAGGCCTACATTCGTTTCGGAGTTAATGTCGAAAAGTTTTATGTATTTGAAATTAGGCCTACGTGTGATCGAGGCTATAGTAACCACTTACTAGACTTGGCATTATATTTTTTTAATAATCCAAAAGAATCTGTCCAACGATAGAACACGTTATTAACAGTATAAAGCTACGCACTATTAT